TTTTTTATTCAAAAGAACATTTGTAATATGGGAAGTGTGAATAATAATAATTTTTGCGGTGAATTAAAATTGGATGCATCCACTTCTGATACCGGGCCCGAATAGATGCAGCCAAAGTAGGCACTTTGATGAAAATTTCAACACATTTTTTTAAAATATAAAAATACTACAACTGTATAGAGCCTGGAGAACAGATTACAAAAATACCAAGATCAACTTTCTAGCTCAAGTGGTTCAAAAGTTATGAATTTTTTAGTAGGGACCTCAAAGGCACTTTTTTTACCATGGGATTTTCATCCATATTTCGTGACCATCAATTTGCTTTTTTTTTTAACGCCTATAACTTTATTGTAAAATGAGACAAAAATATAATATTTACAGAGAACATAGTTAAATAAGAGTACTTCTAAATAAAGCCACAAAATATAAGTTAGTCTTTGTTAATATTTCGCACATTTTCTTCCTTTTAAAATTTATAAAATATGCTGACTCGTCACATATTTGAAATTAATTAAGGGGGTAGGCGCCCAAAAATATCAAAATTTTTCAAAAATTATCCATTTTTTAATTTTTTCATTTTTACGAAGATGAACATTCTTAGAATGGATTACACATCAATTTATACTACCTTTTTAAAAGATTTGTCGTGAAACAACTGATATTTAACACCCTAACCCACTCTAAAAATTGATCTAATTTTGGAAATAAAATAAAATTCATACATATCCCATGTTTGAGACCTCAAAAAACTAGTTTTAAATAACATAATATGCTATTATTATATATCAACGTAAAGGTAAATTCAAGCAGTTTTTTTTAATATTTAAAATCATAGTCAGTAAATGTAATTGCTACAAATAATCGGATCCACAAGCGTGTGTGTAGGATTTTCTTCGCTTCTATTTATATAATTATTTTACCGATTTTCATTGGTCCAAACGGAGGGTAACCAAGATACCGTAGACTCGTGCATGCCCAAAAGAGTTGTTTATGTGTGTTTACCGGATTGTGGTTATGTGTACACAACATAATTTTGTAAACGAATGCATCAGCATATTTTGATTTTAAAAGACACATTTACAACCTTACCCATGCTGTAAAAGCCAGAAATTCAAGGTAAGTATACTAAAAAAATGACCTTAATTTAGCAACACGCAATCGGTGATAGTTGAAATTATTCAGTTCAGACACCAGTACTGTCACTGTGTTGCCATGATGATCGTGCGTGTGGATTGTTTGTGAGTTTATGTTTAGCTTATGCCTTATGCGGAGAATTACATAAGTTTCTACTTTAAGTCTTTATATTTACCAATCAAGTGAATTGTTAAATTATATGAATCCTAAGCCTATTTATTAATATTTGTCTAACAAAACAACATTGATAAATAATCGAGTAGTTCAAAGTAATAGTATAGGCTAAGACTAAGGCTAACATTCAGTAACAACAACACAATATTATGCCGTAATACCACTTTAATTATGGTATTAGCATTAGCAGTATGGACAAAATAATTCGTATTAGAATGTTTTAACTCAAATAGTTTAATCTTAGCCTTATTCATTTTTTTTAATCTGCATACAATTATTAATAGTAATAGCCTAATTAGTTTTATATTATTTCTTAATTCTTCAGTGACAAGAATTCAACAGAGGGACTGCTAAACATTGATTTCGATATGATCATAATTCAAAGCTTTTACCAATTTTCTTCTGTCTGCAGTGGAATGGACAAATTGCAGAAGCCATAACTTACAGCTGATTGCAAAACAAAATAGTAAATACTATGAATATAACAATGACTAGATTGTGAGTGGTTAGATTGTTCATATCCACAACTGGATAACCAAGTCATTATCAATTATAAACTGTAGGGCCTGAAGGACAATCGCATGGACTATGAAAAATTGCAATCTATGATATCTGTGATAAACAATCCGGCTGCGCCGCAAAATTTATAACCTGCACAAAGTATAAAAACTGCGCTACACCGAAGACATGAAACATTTATGAGCAAGTATCTGCCCAATTATTACATTTCTAATAGACAAATAACTCATTCACCTCTGGTATGAGGGACATCTTTGATGAAAGAAGTACACAGAATAGGTACAAAAACCGAAGACATGAAACATTTATGAGCAAGTATCTGCCCAATTATTACATTTCTAATAGACAAATAACTCATTCACCTCTGGTATGAGGGACATCTTTGATGAAAGAAGTACACAGAATAGGTACAAAAGTTTCAACATAGCATTGCTGCCATGATACTATTTATGCTTCAATTTCAGTGATGGTGACAGCAACATAACTTTGTCATCTAAGTATGGTTAAAAGGATCATGGACAAAAAGGGTTGATTGGGGATTTTGGATAACTTGTGTTATACTATAATGCTGAAAAAAAATAATTCTTATACAACACAAATTAGCTTTGATTTTGACAAGAGCACCTGATGAAGTTCCTGGTGTATTCAACAGTTTAATAATATACGAAACCACCATGTCCATGTTGCTGAACACAAAAAAAAACTATGTAAAAGAACTTCATTTTCATATTAAACTTAACATTTTTCACTTTTAAAGTTTAAAATTGATTTTTCTCAAAATTGTTTTTTTCTGTTTTGTAACGTAGAATTCTAAAATCTCAGCTAATATACATGCTAGAGTAATAAAAATTAATGTGTATCTTCCTTTAACTATTTTGTGGGTAATGAGCTATTCAAAAGTCAATTTGGTCAAATACCTTTGTTAAAATAATTTTTTTTCATATCTTAGGATGGTAAATTTTAAGCATTTTCTGCCGAGGCAAATTAAAAAAAAAAAATTTTTTTTTAAGTTTTGAAAAGTTTGAAGGAAATTAAACTAGCTCAGTACCTCTAAATATAATTTCAAGATGGCCGGCGTTGCCATGGCAACTATATAATTTTTTTTTCTTTGAAAGCATGAAAATACATCTCCATTCATAGCTTAACATGACCATAATGAAATAGTTAATAAAATAGTTGCTCTATGTTGGTTAATTAAAAAAATTTTTTTGGGTAGTATGCCCCCTTAATTTTTTTTAATTTCCCTAAAATCATAATATTCTTTAGATATAAATCTAAAATTTTCTGTGGAACATTTATAAGTATAAACTGATAAGAAAGGGAATATTTTTTTCATTCAGTTAAAATTTACTATTACACTTATTATTTTTACATTTTCTATATATGTATTTTAGTCCCATATGATATGAATGTCTGAATATGACAAAAAAATAGTATGTCAAGTTAGTAATCTTGTTTCACAAATTAACATGCATTGATAGAATCTTGTTTCACAAATTAACATGCATTGATAGAATCAACTTTGGTGGTTGATACAAACTATAATAAGTACAAGTCATTTGCTTGAGATACCAAGGATTATGTAACAATTCTCTTATGAAATATTGTGATATGTGATTAAATATAGGATATGGTCAATATGGTAAAAGTGGAGGTCAGGTGCATATATTATTTCTGCTTGAATTTCTTACTTTCGCGTGTAAACTATGTTAATTCTTTATAAAAAGTATTTTAAAAGTAAAATAACATCTTTTTATTGGAATACAACAACAATTTAATTTTACGAAATAAAAAAAGAACATTTTCAAGAATCTTTTGTCTTTTACAGAGCCATTGTGGTAAATCAAGGATAACTCTTCTGTCTTCAAAGATACATTATAAAAGTTGCCTAATTGGATGAATCTTGGTTAAAATAAATGTTGTATTTATTTTATAACTTCACTATCAAATATACCCAGAGTTGCCCGGGATTGCATTCAGGAAAAACACCGCCTGTTACTTCCTTTTAATTCACATTGCAATCAAGCGAAATTTAAACAAAACAACACCACTATATTTTTAAAAAATAATTTGTCTCTAAAATAACTTTTTCGTTTGTCCTTTTTTCTGATGGCATCCCGTTGTCCGGAAGGATCATGATGGATCCTGATAGGTCCCGATTCCGGTAGAATCCCGGTCATGGTGGGATCCCAATAAGATCCCGTTTCCGGTGGTATCCCAATCCAAATGAGATCCCATTCTGGTGAGATCCAGATCCCGGTAGGATCTTGAGCCCGGTGAGAGCCGTTTCCGGTGAGATCCAGATCCCGTTACTCTCATACTTGGCATACGTAGCCAGTTTACAAGCCACATAGCAATTGTTACGAGCGCCTTACGAGAAATTCCATAGTTGTATTAACGTTATTTGTTGCCTCACAAAGTTCGCGTATAAACCAAATGCTCCACCATTTAAAATTTCCGTTGGATCAACAATTTCAATTATTTTATCTTGGTCGTCCTGCCAATTTTGAATAAAATGATCCCACTACCAGCATTACCTCAAAACGAGACCATCTTATTCTATATAATCCCTAGCCCTCATCCTCATTTTACTCAGCGCAAATCAGTCACCATTAATAAGCGCAGAAGAAAAAAGGGGAGGGATGCTCAAATTAGAGCTGACCAATCATGGACTACGTATTTGCAGCCATCAGTATGAGATGACTATCAATAAATGATCAGATTTCCCCTTTCCTGCAACGTCCACAAATATTTTTTTTAAAAAGTGGACACGTGATCCCACATTGGCACATATTCGTGGAAACGTATTTGCAGCCATCAGTATGAGATGACTATCAATAAATGATCAGATTTCCCCTTTCCTGCAACGTCCACAAATATTTTTTTTAAAAAGTGGACACGTGATCCCACATTGGCACATATTCGTGGACCCCCCCCCTCTCATTTTTTTCAGCTACACTCCAGGACAACGATGATGTGTGTGTCCGCTGCCTTAGTCGGTGATCCACTTCTAATCCCCCCCCCCCAAGACTTCAAGGGGCAACCCGTATTCTCAAGCGCTACGAGAGGAAAAAAAAGAAAGTCGGGGTGGGGAAGGAGTGCGCTCGTGCGTTTTGTGAACATGCCTACAGTTTGAAAATTTCGTTTAGCACACTAACTTAAAATCTGGCCACAGGGTGAAAAGAAAAAACCAAGTGTCTACACGTCCGGCGCGCTGGACACATAGTGCTGGAGATATACGTCCGGCGGGCATGTCAAGTGACCGCCGGACGACTGGTAGGCGTTACTATTGCGGCAGGTCATGTGGCAAGTGGTCGCCAACAAAAAAGTAACATTGCATTTGATATTCCGATCCCTAAATAATAAATAAATGCTGAACATGTTAATATATTCATATGCACTGAGATGCATAAAGTGTTTGACTTTGAATATTAAACTAGTTGGCCTATATACTAACTATCACCCTCGCTATTATTTTTTTAGCATTCGTATATTTTTTAATTTTTTTTTATTACTGTAATTGTAATTCTCTCTCCCTCTCAGCATTGCTTCCTTCTACTTCTAGAATGCATTATTGCTTAACCCCCACTTTGTTTTGGTAATATTTGTTTGCAAGATACTCAGTCAGTACATTACTTGGTAGAGAAATAGATATTAAAATTGACAATAGTTTTTAATAACTCTCGGTCACCGGACAAATATCTCGATAAAGTATTCTTCCGGGGGTCATGTGTCTTGGTCGCCGGACAATGGCTCCGGACGTGTGGACACTGCCAAAAAAAAAATAATACTAAACAAATGGGGCTATGTAACTTTGGTTGGGGGAAGTTTAAAGACTCTTAAAAATCAAATAAAAAGAAATGTGAAAAAGACCATTTAAAATTCAGTAATTATAGTTAACTATAACTGCCTGTATTTAATTAATACAGAATACACGTAAGTTTACATTGATAAAATACGAATGCCTTAAGAAATAACATACGCACCTGAACTCCACTTTTACCCAGTATGGTTTGTTTGAAATTCAATAAGTTAGACTAATATCAAATTACAGATAAGCTGATAAGACAGTAGCCAATTTGCCGCCAAAAAAAAAAAAACAGCTTTGACCTTGATGGATCATAAAGTAAAGTCATAAATTGATGTCAAGTTAATGATTATAGAACTATATTTAAACTGGAATTTAAAAATACCATAAAATTATAAACATAAACGTATTCTTACTTTGTTTGAAGAGTACGTCACACTATTATTAGTATTATTCGTGTATCTTCAGCGCCACAAGAAAATCTTGAAAATATTTCTCGATTGATAGTAATCGCTAAGATGGCTAACCAACAGGAAGTATACGTCATAACCGTCACGTGACTAACCGGATATATATAAAGCCCTCACGTGACCAGCCGGGTCCGAATAGCGAATTGCTGCCATAGGTACCCGTGTACTTATAGTCACTCCGATAGTATAATTTGAAGAGATGGTCTTGAAGGCAGTTATGAAGGCTGGGATGGTCGGTATATTGCGGATGTGTAATGGGAGAGAATTCCATTGATTTGGGACACAGAAAGAGAAAGATAGTTCATCATATGTTTTAGTTGAATAATTTTCATTACATGGTGTTAACCCATAACTGTCACCATCCCCATTAGTCGATTGTAACATGAGGTAGAATAAGGTAGACTACACGTTAAATCCACCAATGACGAGGCTATGCCAGGAAAGAATAGAAATCTGTAAAAGTAAACAAACATTTCCGTAACTTTTTAGATCTCATCGACATTTGCATAATTTTTTATCATCACTTGGATTAATTTAGACATTTCTGGAAAATTATAAAATAATTTTTAAAACCTAAAAAAACACACAAAAAAACAAAAAAACCGCTGGGTAAAAATGCTTCTACTATGTGTGGCAATGTGCCACTGTTTGCAACTGCTTTTAGGTAACATTTCATATGCGGCAGTATGGAACAGATAGGAATAAGAGAATCCACTCTCATAGTCATAGTGTGACTGCTAGGGGTAACCCCAAGCACGGACACATCCATGGTCCACTCTCATAGTCATAGTGTGACTGCTAGGGGTAACCCCAAGCACGGACACATCCATGGTCCACATCCACTCTCATAGTCATAGTGTGACTGCTAGGGGTAACCCCAAGCACGGACACATCCATGGTCCACTCTCATAGTCATAGTGTGACTGCTAGGGGTAACCCCAAGCACGGACACATCCATGGTCCACTCTCATACTCATAGTGTGACTGCTAGGGGTAACCCCAAGCACGGACACATCCATGGTCCACTCTCATACTCATAGTGTGACTGCTAGGGGTAATCCCAAGCACGGACACATCCATGGTCCACTCTCATACTCATAGTGTGACTGCTAGGGGTAATCCCAAACACGGACACATCCATGGTCCACTCTCATACTCATAGTGTGACTGCTAGGGCTGCTAGGGGTAATCCCAAGCACGGACACATCCATGGTCATTTAAAGTAGCACTCAGCCGTGTACTGGCCTTAAATTTTATGTAAGTTATTTACACGCGGGAATAACCATCCCTGCTCCGGGGTTTACCCATGGTCAGCTCGGACGCGGGTTCCCTGTGACTGTGTGTGTGTGTGTGTGTGGGAGGGGGGGGCGAACTGGGACTTGAGGTGTGTACATTTTTTGAGATTGTGGTGTGGAACGGATGCGTCGGGTCGGCGGCAGGTGGGAGAGATTTTCCGGTCGGCTCTGTCAACGGATTGTACCTTACATTAATTAAAAAGCTATAGTTCTCAGACCTGATTGTTTTATTTTGATTTTATTTAAACTGTAAGCTACGTCATCACTCGGCTACATATGTAATCATTATTTCAATGCTAAAACATCTAAAGCAAATTGCCTTATCTCTAGACCAGGGTCGGCAACCTATGGCTCGCGAGCCAGATGTGGCTCTTTTGATTTGCTGTATCTGGCTGGCAGGCAAATTATTCGATTATAAAAAAAAAAGTCGCATTAATGGTAAGAAATACTCATTATTGATTAGCAACAGCATAACAATGTTATTAAAAAGAATTCAGAGACATTAACAGCCGATCTTGAAAGGAAAATAAAGGCGATGGAGATGAGATGCTTCAGAAGCATTTTTGGCATCTGCTATAGGGACCATATCTCCAATGATACAGTGAAAGAAAGGGTTCGTCAGGCAATTGGGGAGTACGATGACCTACTGGTGACTGTGAAAAAACGCAAATTACAACGTAACAAGGAAACAAGGGCTTGCCAAAGAAATATTGCAGGGCACCACAAGAGGAGGGAGAAGAAGAGGAAGACAAAGAAACAGGTGGGAGGATAACATCAAAGAGTGGACAGGACTAACATTGGGCGATGCTGTGCGCAGTGCAGAAGACAGAGACGAATGGAGGAGGATAGTTCACATTTCATATGTGGCGCCCCAACGGTCCAAGGACTAAGGGACATGAGGATGAGGAGGAAATTGTTATTAATTTTTTAAAGAATCTCATTTAGTGCATTAATCAGTAATTTTATTTCATGAAATCAGTGTCATCTTATTTCCTTCCCCTTACAAAAGGTGTTTTTTGGAGGTAGGGGTTGGAGGGGGGATCTGAACATTTGAAAGAATCTGTTGTCATCGGCATTAGTGTATGTGCCAAGTTTCAGCTCGATAGGTGTGTAAATGAGCCGTTCGAAGATTGGGTCAGTCCGCCAGCCAGCCACGAACAAAAGCGAAGTCAGCGTAAAAGAATGCTAAAAATAAATCTTTGATGTGATCATTCTTTCAATGCTAAAACATCTTAATCAAAATACCGTAACACTAGATGTATTTCATTGAAATTAAACCAAGGGCGCCGGTGCCGTTTTAATCATAATTAATGTAGGGGCCCTTATAAAAATTCAACAGATAAATAGTCGAGTTAAAATTTAGAAGCAGTCCCAGTAATGTCGGTCGAAAAATGAAAGAGCTATAGCTATTTAAAATAGGCCTATACATGGTGGCCCTGGAGTGGGTACTAATGTTGAATGCCATGCTATTTTAATATGGAATATAAAGGAAATGCCCATCAAGTTTGGCCTACATCAAGCAATTCACGTAGAGCCCTTTATTATAATCAAAAGCCCGAAAGAGAGCCACATTAGATCACCGACTACAGCAACTATCCCCTGCCCGCGGCGCCAGAGACTCTTCCCGAGCACGGATCGGACTAGCAAGCCACCTACGAGCTCACCGTGACCGCAACCTTCCTCTAACCGAATGACTCGATGGTCCTAGTCGATTTTGACGGACGAACAACAAAAGCCTACTGTCTTAAGTGTTGCATATGATGAGTTAAAACCCGTCAGTGCATGTTTAACAAGTTTGTTCTAGATCAACCCATTTATAGTAATGTTTTTTTTTTTTTTACAAATACAAGAAACAAAATATTTTTAAAAAAGCACTGACACACATACAATGAAATTTGGACCACCAACGACATTTTAAAACAAAATTAAAATCAATCAGTATTACCTTGTAATAATAACTATGTATAAAAGGTTCGATCAAGACCCATTATCTATTTATAAGTTTTTCATAAAGTATTTCGGCCTGCACAAGTTTTTCATAAAGTATTACGGCCCACCCTTACATTTTGAGCTGTGAAGACCTGATTGAAGACACCGAACTAATAAAAAAAAACAATCACAATTTAGTCCGATATGTTGACAAATAAGGTGTGTATGGCGTTTTTTCGGCGTCTTACGCCGCGTTTTACTGTAACACCCCACTGTCAGTAATAAAATATAGACATACGCTTATTGTGTGTGGCATTTAAGAAGCTAACAATTAATGCAGAGCATCACATAATTTTATATGAAAGAGGGAAAGCAACCAGGGACTGAAATTGTTCCGTATGAATATAACAAGTTGCGCCTTTGAGACCTTGCTATATGTACCTAGGGGCCGTCCATAAAGTACGTCACGCTATTTTTGACCATTTTTACCCCCCCCCTGTCAAAAATCTCGGAACCCCCCCCCCCCTCTTCCCCAAAGTACGACACACTTTCGAACAATTAAAAAAAAAAAATTAACNAAAAACCCCCGAACCCCCCCCCCCCCCTTCCAAGTACGTCACACTTTCGAACAAATTTTTAAAAAAATTAACACCTAGGCCTAATTAAAATTTAATCTAAAAACACTTCACTATTAAACTGTATTAAAATATAAAATTTCCACTTAATTTCAACCATCAAATTATTAAAATGACTTTAATAGTAGAATAGTTAATTGTCAACAGTTGTCACAGTTATTCATTGAAGCAGTAACTCAATCTAGATTGAATTTGAAAACAAAATTTGCAAAAATTAGACTAGACAATTACCGGTTTATAATACACATCATTTATCTGCTGCTTTTTCATTTACAATAGGTGAGGTCAAGTTTTAGATAATCTTCCGATTGTGCAATTTTTGTACACAGTTTAAGAATTATAGTAGAGAAACTTGACCTCACCAAATGATTAAATAATAAAAAGGACAGTGACATAATTATGCAGTGAACAACATAGAAATAATAATACGTCAGGAAAGACGAAAACAAGGCTATACATAAATCAAGGCTTCGCAACAGCATACTAGCGCTCCTAGTGAGAGGAATCGCGAACAACAAATTCAGGAGATACACATTTAATACTATTTTGACATAAAACTAATTCAAATGATGCACACAATTTTTGAAAATTATTTTTTAATCTATTGAATTCCACTACAAAAATTAAAAGAAATTAGAAATATTAAGAAAAAAAAAATGTGAGTCACACATGTCCTGACCCCCCCCCCCCCACGGAGCTTGACGTACTTTATGGACGGCCCCGAGATGCGCCATAGCATCCTTTGGCCATGAACTATGTGATTAATCTAATATTAATATAATGTTCAACCCACCCCCCCCCTTTTTTTTTTCCAAAAACACGTAATAAAATGAATTTGCTTAGTATGTTACTAAAGTGTAACACCGTACCGTATACTTAAACAATACGATTGCATTTAAAAAATAATATTTTGTTTTAAAAGTTATGTTTAAAATAGTTTTTTGCAAGCGCTAATTCATGTGAACATAGAATCAAGCTTTATTTAAAATGCGTGCATCAAACAAAACGTAACTTGACTAAATCTCGCCCAGGGCGAACTCCCAAAATTGTGTACTTCAGCCTACAGACACATTTTTTTTTCTTTAAATGTATCTTTAAAAGTTAACCGAAAACTTTCTATTGATTAACACGTATTATGCGTTAGGCCTATTTGAAACCGTACCATTCTGAATAAAGGCTTATTAAAAATGAATGAACCAAAAAATAAATTATCCTAAACACCCAGATTTTTAAAAGGCGGCATTTTCAAGTCATTTGAGAATAATAATTTGAACACTTTACTCTATATTCTTTGACTATTTTTTTATTTACACCTTTTGAAATAAAGGGAGTTTGACCTCACTTTACAGGAACCACGTGTAACGTGTAGACCAGAAAGCTTGAGCACGTAAAATTTAGATGCGATCCATTTTTTAAAATCTCTTGTTATAAAGTAGCAAATTAAAATTCATACAAGTAATTGAAATAAACATAGTCAAACTGAACTTTATATAATGTAATAGGCAAAACTGATCTAAAATATTATTGAATTAAAAGAACAACTTTCTCTCAAACTCTCCTTACACCTCCTATTAGACAAGTAGATTACATCTGAGATATTAATTTTTTTATCAGAGCTTAGATTAAAAAAGGATAATAACTCATGTGGTATTGCTTTAATGTAATAATTGTACTTAAAAATTGGACCAATGATAATATAATTTAATTGTGCTACATATTTTGTTTCGTTAATGGACGCAGCAATTCAGCTTTTCAAAAACTTTCAGCTCTTGCGACTTCCTGTACTTGCGCAGTAGTAATCTTCCTTTACTGAAAATGTCTAAGAGAGGTATGTTTGTTTTGGTATATGTGGTTAAGTAAATCTATAGAAATCCAATACTTTGTTAAATATTTTAAAAGTTTTATCAAGAAATCATGTTAATTAATCATAACGTTAAGCAACAATACCAATATTATGCCTTCATCGATATTATTTAGCGATATTCCGATGTTTTTTTAAGCCACTCATTGTACTAAAACATTAATATCTTCATATTTTCTCTTTAGGAAGGGGTGGAACGGCTGGTGGAAAATTCCGCATCGCACTGGGTCTCCCAGTGGGTGCTGTTATCAATTGTGCAGACAACACTGGAGCTAAAAATCTTTATGTAATTGCCGTCAGTGGAATCAAGGGTCGCCTCAACAGACTTCCTGCTGCAGGTTCTGGGGACATGTTTGTTGCCACAGTCAAAAAAGGAAAGCCAGAGTTAAGGAAGAAAGGTAAATTGATTTTTCACCTTTTTAAAGTTGTGTGTGCTGTGGAAGATAGGGGGAACTGATGATTTGAAACAATTCAATTTTAGGTGTAGTTATTGACATGGGTTTTGACAAGAATTGGGGAATCCCAAAGCCAACACTTCAATGCTGGTGATGTCTTCCACAATGTCACAAATACAAACGAATTTGGCAAAATGATGCAGAAAATTGAATAGTGTGTCACAAGTTTTCGGCTGAAATATATAGTTTCAATAAGGGGCTTTTAACAAGGCTCTTTAACATGTCAAATGCTTTTCAAATCTCTGTTCCAACTGAAATGAATAAGACCCAGATCATGTGTCTTACTTGTGCCATTTAGCCAATCAGGAGCATAGGTCGCCTACAAAGAGTTTTCCCATTAATCACAGTCCTGTGCTTTCCTTTCCCTTTTTGTTTTTTTTTGCTTGTTAAGGATTGTCGGTGCAGTTTTTGGGGTGTGCCCATTCCACTGCCATCATTTCCTGGTGATGTCATTTGCAATATGCTCTTGCCAGTAAACCTATGTTTTTTACCATTATATGTTCAGGATTTTTTTCCAAGGCAAATGTTTGTGTGTGTTGGTACTTTCTGCATGATGCTCATTGTTCTCAAAAGTTTTGTCTCCATAGATCATGTCTAGTTTTAAAAGAAAAAAAGATGAGGCTAGAAATTGAGTATGAGGGATCATTCTTTGCAACCATGGTGTCAATCAAAGCAAACTTTATGTTCTTGACGTAGAATGAACTTTCTTCTCATCAAAGAACTTCCAACCCTTACTTTAAGTTTAATGACAAGGTTTTTTTTTTTAAAGTCTTGATATCAGGAGTTGTAGTGACACCCCTGGAGAATGTTTGTTCACATCTGTAGAGTGATCCTCACACTTTTAAGTAGACTGACCCAATAGCCCAGTGATGAGAAATGCGAAAAAGCTGGCTCAGAATGGAAAATCTCTGATCCCCTGCAGATTGCCTCTTGTGATATAGTTATTAGTATGCTTTATTTAACAATGGTCGCAAAATTACTGATTTGTACATGTGTAGGTGTGTGTGTTCAAAATAAAAAATCATGGAACACATTTTTTTTGGACAAAAGTTAGATTTGACTGGTTGTTTTAAGTGTTATCTGTATTTTGTTTCAAAATTATTATTTTTTCCTTAAGTATGGTCCTTGCAAATACCATTTATCACTTCAATATCAATATATTATGTAATATTTCAAAAAATTAATATACATTTTATTTCATTCCCCAGTAATGCCTGCTGTTGTCATTCGTCAAAGGAAGCCATTCCGCAGAAAGGATGGTGTTTTCATATACTTTGAAGATAATGCAGGTGTCATAGTTAACCCTAAAGGAGAAATGAAAGGTATCCATTTTGACTTGTTTCTTAAAATAAAACACTTGGTTGCTTGTTTTGTATCAAAACAGTATTGATTGCAATTTATTTTTGACAGTTATGAGCATTAAATTTTAGTTGGTGTTGCTAAAAATAAATTTTAATTTGTTTTCAGGATCTGCCATAACTGGCCCTGTTGCGAAAGAATGTGCTGACCTCTGGCCTCGTATTGCTTCAAATGCAAGCTCCATAGCATAAAGTTGTTTTTAAAGTACAAAATATCTACAATACAAGTTGTACACAAAAAAATTTGAACCTTTATTTTTCTGTTTGACTGAATGTGAGCACATGTCAATGGTATGTTGTGAGTTTTAATATTCTGCCATATTTTTGACAAGGAGTTTTTCTGATTACATAGTTAACCCAATCCCTTTCACAACACATGAACAGGATGGCATTTACTGTAAGGTTAGGTAATAAGTTTCATATCATATTAAAGGTAGACTTTCAAAAATCCTGGCATTGGCCAATTTATACCCCATACTTATTGAATACCAAGCACTGATACTGATATCATGGTCAACATTTATGTAATGGTAGCATTTTAAATCGCATAATCTCTTAATATCAAATTTATCAGATACCACCATCACATCAAAAATGATTCTGTGATCTTTTCTTTCCCAAGTCAGTTTGTCATTTACAGCATGTAGTGTAGTAGATACTGTAATTAATTGATGTAATGTCTTTCCTAGTATTAGCTTACCTTGTACATGGGGAAAATAAAAATTACATCTTGATCTCCTTTTTAAAACATCCATACACCCTGTCATCTCGAGGTTTTTTATCCTTGAATCCTTTCACCTGTGATTTTTCAATAGTCATATTGGTCCATTAAAAAAGTGTATCAGTCGGCCTATTGGTGTGCCTTACTTATTTCTCTTGATGGAGAGATTGTCCACTTTTTTTGTGGCTAGCAATACGGTCTTAGTCTAACTTTATAGGGTTCTAAAGTCTGGTGTCTTTCACTTCTATTTGGTTACCCGTAGTAGATTTTTTTTTCAATTCATCATCAGGCAGAGTGTCTTCGGAATAGACTATGCTTACAAGGCATTCTCTTGTATTATGATCTGGAAAAGCAGAGATCAATGTCTCCGTCCATGGGGTGACTTTGCCCCCATGCTATGAAAGAAAGTAACCTGTTATTTTTATTTTTCATCCTAGAAGAAATTAACTTTTTAAAAAAAAGACGGAAATAAATTACCCTAATTTATTGACGCACAATACTAATCCAGCAAAATTACTTTGTCCAGAATCTGAGAGCTCCAACGGTCAAGCTTATGCTTGGCAAGGTAAAGAAAGCAAAACTTTATTCACATAGCAACATGTCTGCTTTCATGACTTTGATACTGCTATCATATTACAAAATATAGGGGAAAAAACTTTTCAAAATCATAATATAAGTATTTAATAGACAAAAATCGCCCCATTTCTCAGTACCATACCCCAGAGACCCAGTGTATAGAAATAGAAACATTTCTGGTGGTACCGGTACTGTAATTGGTGTACCAGTAATTGTAAATGTCTCAATGGATAACATAATGTATTGGGATTATTACAACCACCAGTATACATTACAATAAAAATGCATAGTAAAATAGTATTGGTACATGGAATAATTGTTCAATTCAATAATTATAATTGTTAGGTATAAATTGATCAAATTGCGTTAAGTTAAATACAAATGGTGGTATGCAAAATATTTAATACCATACCACGTTTTTTGGCGTGCATAAAAATAAATAGAAAAAGTGAGAATGAATAATTTTGATACCACCATATACATTTTAAAGTAATATTTTTTTCTGTGTAAATTTACTGCTTACAATGCCATATATTTCTCCCCCCCCCCCCCCCCCCCCNCCCCCCCCCCCCCATTTCACATGTGCATGAATTTAAAAGTACCGTACCACACTCATACAGATGTCAGTCAGTGTTTTAGAGTTACAGTTACCGGGTACATCAGGTTATTTTTTTTACAATAAACCAAGTTTGATATCTTCAAAAATACCTACAGTAGTAGTAAAAAAATAAATACAAAATAGGGGAAGGTACTATGCTAAGTACCAGTATCATGCCAGGTGAAAATTAGTGAAAATGACTTAATGGACTTTATCACTTTAAAAGTTAGCAGATGTGCTTTATTTTACAGTTACACTGTAGTAGTAGTGAGAGTAGTAGTAGCATGTTAACTTAATGAATGGGGGTATTTTAAATTACTGGTAACCGGTATTTATAGTTATACTCCGGTAGTTCAATAAGCACCAGTACCAGGATTTAAAAAGGATATTTCAAGGGTTGCAATTGTAAATTAAATAAATAACTACCGGGTACCGGTAATTAAAATTACATTGGTACCAGGACCCAGTACCTCTAACTCTAATTTAAATGTAACTTTAGAAATTGGACCAAAAAAAAAGTCTTAGATTACCAGGTATGATAACAGAATGTTATGATATTGCTATATGAGTAATTGATAAATTAAAAGTGTGGAGAACATTTTAATACCATTCAAAATGCATGCTGGAACCAACACACTAATAATAATAAATCAATGAATTAATACTGTTCTGTTTAAATGTACATTAACCACATACCGGTAATCATCATAAACATGGATAAACGTAACATTTCTAATAATACTACAATACTACCATTAAATTTTAACCCAGCACCACAGTAAAATAACATTAACAAGTACAAATTGCTTTATTAATTAGGTCTTGGAATTGGTGTAGTCTTTCAATTATTCATCTATCACTGAATCCTGGCATGGGAAAATTCTTTGCTAAATCCATGACCTCTTCTTTCAGAGCTTTTATTTTCTTTTGGAGATCTTCATTCTCAACTACAAAAGCCTTGAATTCTTTCAGTGTTTCTGTGGATATAATATAAATATAAAATTAATAAAACAGCAAAAATTATCAGCTGAAAGTGGAGGATGTTTCCTTCGTACTACTATGGTAATAAGAGACTGCAATCAGGGAAATGAGCACAACAAAATGGGAAAACCTGAATGAATAAGGCATGCGAAAAAACAAACATCTCGGCAGGAAGCTTTCTTCAGCGAACAAACTACAGTACCGGAAACAAAAAATAAATAAATAAACAATTAGCTAACGGAACATAATATTATTAGCTTTATATTTTTACTGTTTGTGCACTGAATACGGTGTCTGGCTGACACTCTCACTTTCATTGTTTTGTTACGCCGTTTTTCAGGTTCGCCCATACCTGTACTTTGTTTTGCTTATTACCTGTTTCCTTTACATTTGTATTATAATTAACCATCCATCAGTTGTTTATTAATATCCAGCTGAATTTACACAAATAATTGTGAAGTGATAGAGTGTAAACTGATTACCACTCAACATATTTCTTCTTTTAATTTGAATTATCAGTACCCGGTACCTGGTATTTTCAATTTTGTACAGTTTGAGACCAATGTCCTACTGATGATAGTGGTATATATTTCTTCAGAGTTCCTTATTGTAGAAAGTTAATTCAAGTTCAAGATAAAAAGTTTAAAACACTGGTTCTTACTAGTTTGTTGCTGAGCTTGTACTGTTATCTGCACCCCTTTATCTAACAAATCGATCACTCTTTCAAAATCTTTCTCTTTAAATCCTCTTGTTGTAAGGGCTGGAGCACCTAGATAGAACAAAGCCTCAGCATAAGTTGTGTTCTATTGTATTGTAATACATCACAACATGACAAAGACCCTACTAAGACCTCATCATCCTTAATGACACCATTAATGACATCTAGGGAGAGTGGGATGTCAAGAATTTGTGATGTTATAGTTATAGTAATAGGGTTTCTCAGTTTGTGATGATTAGGTAACAATTTGTCCAAAATAGTGTAGCATCATTAATTTATGGAAGGCCCCAAACTAACATGTTGTGGTGAAAATGAAAGGATCTTAAATAATATCCTGCCACAGTTTGACCACAGATGATTCAAGTTCAAGTGATTGCACAAATACATGTCACAACTTATACTTTTACTGGTAATGGTAGTAACAAACTCAAACATTATCAAAAGATGTGTAATTAATTGGAACAGAACAGCCTAACCTACTTTTGAAATCAACCCTAAAACATAAGCCGGGGGGCATAATTCCTTATATAAATTAAATACCAAAAAATGCTTTTAAAGTTAGGGTGTATTTTTAATGTTGATTAAAATGAAAATTCATTGTTTTATTAATTTTATTAGGTATAAAAATAAATGTAGTAATTTGATAACCCTGATAAAAGAAATACTGTTATTTAGAGATTATAATATCTCAAGTTGAATACATAAGCATCTTTTCCAGCATCATCTCATGATCCCCTAGTACTAATTTTAAACATATTCTTTTTATACTTCTTTTCTTTAACCAATGGATCATCTATGACTATGTCTGCAATTGCAATGATATCAATAGGTTTTGCACCAATCTTTTAAAGAATTTCATCATCTAAGCTTGCATGAACTTGAAAGCCACTTTCAAAATTAGAAACAAAAGAAGAAAAAAACATTCTGAATTCTTCAAAAAGAATTGGAATTACAAGTTGATGATCACCTTGAATGAGCGAACTAAAGCCACATGCAAAATGTGGCAGGAATGGGTTAATGAATACCCGGTAACAACATTGACCCAATATGGTAACAGGGTATCCACGGTGAGAAGAGAGAGAACATTTATTCCAAACTATGGAATAATTTCTGAAATTACCCAATCTCAATCCTCCAGGCGTCATAGCACTTTTATCCCCAGCACAAGTGTTTTTGTTAACAGTAATGTAACACATCTCAAGCACTCGCTCGACCCTTGCACCATCTGTACCTCTTGGGCGGAGGTCTACTAAAATGAGATGATTGTCGGTGCCACCTGCAATTAAATTACCAGCACAAAAAGGCTCTGAATGAAAATGTTTAACAGTATTAATATCAGTTGAAATATCTGAATTGAAATATAAACCGTAATACAACAAATATGAAATACTGGCTACAAAGATATTACCGGGTACTGCAATTTGCAGTATTATACAATGGTGCAAAGAAATAAATGATCGTGAAAATAGTCACACCAATGGAGTTCAGTAGTTGGTAATTATGTCCACAGCCTTTATGTTAGCATTGTATAGATGTTAGCATATCATTGCATAGAATTCTAGATCATACCAGATACTACAGTGTATCCTCTCTTAGTAAGTGGTTCAACCATGGCTTTGGCATTCTTCAACACTTGCTCTTGATATGCCTTGAACTCGGGTTGCAAAGCCTGGTGACATGTCAAGGAAATATTAAAATTAAGTTAGACAGCATGAATTTTTAGTAGCACTATAATCCAATCTTATATCAGCTAGTCATTCTTCTAAAACATCAGAAGATAAAATTTTTATGTCTTCTAATCTAACTTAAAACATTCTTTATGATAAAACTTTTGACACAAAATTCCTCACATCCTCAAACCCATAAATCCATATACCGGTACTATATTTTGAAATTTGTATACTGGCACCAATTGTAAAAAAGACATAAAATTTCTTGGAGAAAACATTTTACTTTTACTGTTAATATTTAAATAAATTTTGCAACACAATTAACCTTTTAAATATCAGTACTGTCACCGATTGGAATATATGGGAGATAAGTAATATGGGAATTATTACTTATCTCCCATATATTCCCACCTATGACAAATACTTTAATGACTTAATGTAACAGAGAGAACTTTAAAAGTTAAAAATGAATCATCTACCTGGCGCAGTGCTACTGCAATGGCTGCAATCTGATGCTCATGGGGTCCTCCTTGCAAAGCTGGGAAGACAGCATTATTTATAGTTTTTTCATAATCATACAAAGTCTCTTTCCCTGTCTTTTTGTCAACTGACTTTACACCTTTGCGGTAGAAGATGATTCCAGATCTGTTTAAGGTCAAATAAAAAGATTTACAAATATTTATGATACACAGCTAACTTGACAGTGTTATGTCAACTGTTTAGTTCAACTGTTATTCCCGCTAATCATACAGTGGTGTCTTTATCTATTTTCCTAAACATGCCTTCCCATCCCACCTTTAGCTGCATTAAGCTCTCAAGTTAACCTCCCTCTGTTATATGGAGAAATCAAAGGGCTTAAATATACATTGTGTTAAAATTAAAAGCCTAAGAATGGAGCATGACTTTCCAAGCTCTTGATAAGTCTATTAATTATTAGCAATATAAAATGACCAATGTAGAATCTACTGAATGGAATTGGTGCAGAAAGCGATTTCCAATTCTATCCTTAAATTTATACGTCATTACTTGCGGCAGATGATTATGTTTTTGATGATGGTAAATTCATATTTAGCTTACCCTTGTTTCACTTTGGATATTAAATTCAAACATATGTTCTACATATGAAATAACCTTATATTATATTTAATCATGTTTTTTTAAAATTCTTTCATTTTTATCAGATAACAATATACATAATAAAATGGAAACATTTCATTTTTTAAATACTTTCTTTTAAAAAAAAGGGCCAATATTTTTCCAAATGAGTCAGGCCACTTTGCTTTGTGTAAGATAATAAAGACTGCATATGAGAGTTAACATAAAAATATATTGGTCTTGGCAGGAATGGGTTAATAGATTAACTTTTACTGTAACTGTAAGTTACGATAAAAAATTATCTCTTTTTACAAACTTTTACATGTATTGAAATTATTTTAATGAATATATAAGTTACGGCAGTTAACAGCTTTTCATATTTGGATAGAAAAAAATCCATGAAAATGGATGTTGCCCAGTACATATAGGTACAGCAACCCTGTGTGTAGCCTATATTAATGAGTTTACCTTGGACCTCTGAGAGTTTTATGTGTGGTAGATGTTACAACATCAGCAAATTCAAAAGGCGAGGGTATAACATTAGCTGCCACAAGTCCTGAAATGTGGGACATATCAGCCAACAGATGTGCCTTGACTTCATCACATACCTGAAAATATTCATGAAAAATTGTAACTCAATGAAGAATGCAAAATATGTTATAAATTATAAAACATTGTAACTTTAAATTTAAAAAAAAAATAATTAAGTTAATAGTTAAAATAGAAGATATTCGGAAAACAAAACTAAAAACTTAGCAAGTGGAATTTACTTTAACATTCTGTTATTCATACCTCTCGAAATGCCTTATAATCTAGGAGTCTTGAATAAGCAGTTGTTCCAGCAATTATGAGCTTTGGACGAAATAATTTAGCCGTTTCCCTCAGTTTCTCATAGTCGATGTAACCAGTTTTCGGCTTAAATGATAAACAAAATAAATGTTAATCATGGAGATTTAAATATTGTAAATACATTTTACTAAGTCATAAAGAAGGTATTAGATGTCTGCTTATTTAAAGAAAGTTTTTACATTTACAAAATTATATTTTTTGTGCAATTATACTATTTAATTATACTGGAAATCGATATTAAAAAAAAAATTAAATGAAATATACAAAGTAAGATAAAATTAAAATAACTAACTTACATTCAGTCTGTATGGCATTGACTCAAAGTAAATAGATGTGGCAGATACTCGCTTGGTATCTGTCATGAAGCCATGAGTTAAACTGCAAAAATAGATTATCTTAGTTCAATATTATTTGTATAGTGAGTCGGAGTATATGTACCGTACTGGTATATTACCGCGTAAAAAGTTTATTGCAAGAAATTTATAGTTTAAAAAATGTACTTAAGGTTAGGAGTTCCCACTATACGGGCATACTTATTAAGTAATTATTCATGAAACCATATTAACCCTACTGTAATAATTATGTAACAAAATCTACTTGACCCACTTGCAATCAGCGACAGAGCGTGAAAAGTATCTGCGCATAAACAAAGTAATGCAAGTAGTGCCCAATCGATGTTCATTTTAAATTTCATAATAATTTAAAGGATTTTGATATTTTTATTTCAAATTAATATTTCTTTCATCAAATTGTATTTTATTATTAACTTGTTATGGCAAAAGATTATCGGATCGCATTGTACGCTAACATGAGATTTTAGGTGTTTGTTTCAAACAAAAAGTTAGGCCTTTGCATTTCATAAGGATCGAGTTATTCACTGTAATATATGGTAATGATTAAAAAATATGAACCTAAGCAAGTGTCATGTTTAATGACAGGTCTATCAAATAGAGTGAGACTAAAAGACTCAATTTATGATGGTCCAAATATGCTTTCAATTTCACTCACTGTCCACCATCTGGTAAATCCAGGCCCATTAGCCTATCATGAGGTTCTAAGAGGGCTGTAAAGGCTGCAAAGTTAGCTGGACTTCCTGAGTATGGCTGCACATTGATGCCCCATTTTTCAGGATCAAGCCTGAAAGCCTCAAGAGCTCTTTCCTGACACAGGCGTTCCATTTTGTCAATAATTTCATTGCCACCATAGTACCTTTTTATAAAATGCAGATTAAAATATTATTTCTGGTCAGTTGTGAGTTAAATAGAATGTACCGATTCATCTATAAACAAGATATTATTTGACATTTAAATATTTTTTTTACAAATACGTACTATTAGAAACAAGAATATTTAATTTTAATTAATCTCAAATATTTACCTGGCACCTGGATAACCTTCAGAATATTTGTTAGTCATACATGATCCTAAGGCTTCCAAAACAGCCCGACTTGCAAAATTCTAGAAAATATAGACATCTCTCATAACTTAAAAAAAAATTTAATACTAACATTACAAGTTAAAATAGTTGTGTAAAGTTTTTTAATTTATTTTATACAAATGGAAAAAATGAAATTTAGGTTATCTTTATTAACATTCATTGTAAGAAGGCACATATTTTAACAATTTAATTAGATAGCCTTTGACTTACTTCAGATGCAATGAGTTCCAAACCATTAGATTGGCGGAATTTTTCCTGCTTGATGATTTCATAAACTTCAGGGTCATCTGTTTGTATGGTTTCTTGACCAGTCCATTTTGTTCTGGCACAGGTATTTCTTAGTGTAAAGTGCTATTTCAATTTAAAAAAATACAAAAAAACTTATCATTATCACATGTTGAGAAGTTGTTTTTTTTAATTGAAAGTCTCATTAAACAATTTTTTTTCAAAACAAAATTGAGATAAGTAGCCTTAAGTTTAAATTGACTGTGTCATTTGATTAAGTTTTAGATTGAATATAAAAACATTTAGGAAATAGCAGCGATTTCACTTAAAAATTTAATGCTAGATAAGTAGCATGATTGGAAAGAAAAGGAGCTTTCTGTGGTTTAGTCTGATTCTGATTCTATCCGTGTTGTTTACTAACATTTTATTAGGATAGAAAAAAGTTTAAAAAAAATTTTTAAAAAAAAGGGGTACAAAAAACAAAAAAAAAAAAAAAAAACCCCCCCCCCCCCCCTTAAAATTAGAAAATGCAAAGGTCCTAGACAAATATTGAATTTTATTTTATACAGATTTTTTCTATGGATTTTCAAAAAAATGTAAATAGAAATTGTGCTTTCCAGAATGTCACCAAAGACCCGGTAAAGAAAAAAAACCCATCATAGTTTGTGAAGTTTTGTTGAATTATTCAAAAATTATTGTAAAAATAAACTTTGTTGAGAGCAATGCAAGCTTTGCCTTTGAAGTCTTAAAACAATCTTCTTAACTGAACTTAAACTTTAATTTGTAGAGGTCCTACACAAATAATGAATTTTATTTTATTACAGGTTTTTTCTATGGATTTTCAAAAAAAATGTAAATAGAAATTGTGATTTCCAGAACTTCAAGGACCCGGTAAAGATAAAAAACCCATCATAGTTTGTGAAGTTTCCTTGAATTATTGTAAAAATAAACTTTGAGAGCAATGCAAGCTTTGAAGTAACCAATTAACCTTCTTAAATGAACTTAAACTTTAATTTGTAGACTGACTTAACTACTGTTAAGTCTTAACTTTAGTTTAGACTTAATTTTAATTTAAAGTTTAAGTTTAAGATTAAGTGTGTAACTGAACTGACTACTTCTAGTTCTAGTTCTAGACTCAACATTTTTTCTTTTTTACACTTAGATGCAAATTGAAATAATAATTTAATTATTCGTCCATTCGTGTACCAGTGGGGGTAAAATAACTTTATTCAATCTCCGTAAGTTATGCATTTTGCAGAATTGTCAAATGGATGCAGAAGACGTGTGGTCGTGGAAGCAGATTTTCAGCTGTCAGCTGTCTCATGGTTTAAATAACAAACGGGTCAATAGGTCAAGGCAATGGAGTTTTATGTCTCTTTCTAATAAAAGAGTTAATTTAAGTGATGACAACCCATCATGTTACTCTACTGTTTCTGTAACCCTATGAATCGTTTGACCAAACATTTGTACCTTAACAAAATTAACAGTAATTTAATTAAAATATAAAAACAAATTAAACTTCCATTTGTCATTCATGATAACCCAGGCCTAAGTCCTAACTGAAAAGCCACTTGATTTTTGATAACCTGGGGCAGGGAGCGGGGGTTTGAGTCTAGACTTTGCGAGCATACAATTACAATACAAGGTTTGGAAAACCTGATTTAAATTGATTTTACGTTTTCAAATATTAATTATTATTGATAAAACCAAAAACAATGACTAAAAACAGGGTCTTTAATAACAGGACTTCAGGACTAAGAATAATGTTCTGGTGTTAAATTTCTGCGAAGTGATTATTCACAGAGCTGTGCGGATAACGCTCGCCGTTATTCACAGATTTCGTTCTGCCGATAACGCTAAACGTTATTCACAGAGCTGTGTGAATAACGCTCGACATTATTCGCAGAATGTGATAAATTAAATTATGAATATAAAATACAAAGTTATTGAGAAAACATCTCCTCGGTAGTGTAGTGGTCAGTATCTCCGCCCGTCACTCGGCGGACATAGGTTCGATTCCTCGTCGGGAAGCTTCATTTTTATAAATAAAATTTAAAATAAATATATATATTTAATGGTTCTTTCGTAGTGTTATATTATAATAATATTCTTCATATAGCTTTCTTATTCTGTTCACATAGTTTTATTATTATTTTCATGTAGTTTTGTTACTTATGTAACAAGTTTCAATCTATTTTGTTAAAATGTTCATTCAAGTTTCGTCAAAAAACTGTAAACAACATGGACATGCAGATGAGCCGCATAAACCATGTTTAAGTCAGATACAGCTGTTCTAACTGTACATTGTGATATACTTTTAGCTCTTTTGACTGTTTAATTTTCTTTATATAATTCCACTCATAGACTTTAACATCCATTTGTTTTTCTCTAATAAACAAATACTTATTAATAACTTACTTATTCAAATATTTTAGATCTCAGAGTTGTGTATTAATGTTTAGCTGAAAAAATATGTCACGTTTTATTTGTTTCATTTTATTTTCTAATAAGTATCATAATAAGTAGGGACACAATATGCCGCTCCAGAAATAG